CCGTTAATCAAACTAAGTAACTGAATTGGTCTAAGAGACACTCAAACTACTCAATCTCTAATCCGACACATTCGGCGAAGCCGGTACGGTGGGGACATGGATATGATCAAGCCGTATGACCTTATTGACACTTTGTCCTCGTGTCACCTCTGCTCACTGAACTGTTTAACGCATCGTTCCATTATGATTATAATAATTATCATATTATCATTATCACATTAATGTCACACCACCACCTAACGTGGAATTATTATTGCTGTTCGTGCTGATATTAGATCATGACATTTAAGCAATCATATCACACTCTCCATCAAAGTGTAATTTTATGAACATTTCATTTACGTTATGACAGTCGAAACTCGTTGCATAATTCTTTGATTTTTCAATAACGTAAAATTTTGCTGCTTTATGTGAGTTTGTTCCATTTTCTCCGCGTCATTTTTGCCCTGTTATTACACTCATTCTTTGATTTTTTCAAGGACGACACTCTCATGATATTATTTTCTGTTTTTCTATTAATACGTCTTACGCACACTTCATCTAAGTTTTCGAACTGCTGTTGTCTATTGAACTGTCTGAAATTAATTCGACATCAGTGTTAGATATTTACGATTTTCTTGCTGCAAGTTTAGCTACATTGTTGTCTAAGTCGGGACCGTTAATGTAGTTTGCTACTGTTGTTCTCGTCATCACTATTATTGCTTGATTGTTATTTATGTTGGAATTCAAATTCTTCAATATATCAGATTGTACCAATATCATATCGCAAATTGTGCCACGACACATTTGCTGCAAGGTTTTGGTTGATGATGATTGACTGACAAGGTGATCTAATCTAGTTTATTACACCGTCATATAATAATGAAGAGACACATTAATGTGATGACAAACTGGCTGGTGAAATATGTTTAATTTAGGTCGTATACAGAAATATGTTGAATGCAAAGGCGAATCTACAGAAGCGATTAGAAAATTGGAAATCATTAGAAACAGACCTGATGTGAGCAGTAGATTATGTGAAGTGACCTGATTGAGGCATTCAGTGATTTGACCTTCTATTCACTCCAAATTGTTTACTCCTGAATTCACGTTTTCATCATTTGTGTGCTTATCTAAATTCAAGTTGCTTTCTCCAATGTTTTGTGTTTGTGTTTCTGCTTGTCTATCTGCATTGCATGTAACCAAACTCCATGTGTTCTTTTAATGAAAATTTTCTTCGTTATCTACTTAAATGTTTTATAGAAGGCAACCTCACGAAAACAGTAGTAATCGGTAAGTCAAAATATGATATAGCAGTTTGTTTTGTCACACCAATTTATTTTCCTTACTGATTGTTTTGATTCTGCTTTCCATTTCATTCATCAATATGTGGTCACATTGCATTACATAAACGGTTGGGTGAATTGTTCCTCTTGGAAATTCAGTTTAGCGAAGAGATGTCACATATAGTACGCTCATATATTGAAATTATTTGTCAATCAGTATTTATTGTTGAGTTTCTCAGGGTCGTCTGGTCGCGTTGGCCACTATCTATGTTAAACCGGAATGATTCATAATCTTTCCAAGTGGAACAATTTAATTGTATTCGTATAAAAGCTAACAAGTACTGAAATTTACTGTAACTGTGGAAGTCACGTTATATTTGTTTGCTGAGCGTCACTTCACTCACAATATTGTTACACTTATTAACCAATGTGTGTGGGTAGACATTACTACTTGGTGTAGAATTCTTTATTTTCATAACAAACCAAGAGCATATAGCATTCAGTGTGCATGGATGTGGGAAATCAAACAACCATTTACTTCATAGTGTCCATCACTTTGATAGATCATAATCGAATACACTTGGATTTGTGGTGTGGAGTTGAAGAGAGGTCGTTCAGTTTTGTTTTGTTGTGCAACAGTAAGTCAACTCAATATTCTCCTTTCACTGAGAAGTCGGATTTAAATCAACGAACTTTGACTTGTTGGAAACTATTTAATTTCTTTTGTAGCAGTCTCATCAATGCTGACTAGATTGAACAAGTCTTTGGAGTGGAATGACAGTTTATTGGATCCTAGTTCCGATTTATATCGAAATTATTCAGCTGAAATTTGTAATTTGGTAAGTTTGTTACCGAGTTCTCAATTGAATTTACATAAAAATCAGGAAAACTGATTAAATGTATAGACAACCTGTGTCTTTTGATAAAGGGTTGAAGTTTGACATTTGAAGACGGTTTTTGGAAATATATGTAGCTATTTAATAGCTATTTATAGAAGACAGAGTACTATTTAACTGTTTTCTCCAACTGTGACGAATAGTACCTGTAGAAATTCAAGATGTTGTTTGGGTAGATTCCATGATCATTGTTTTATGCAATTATGGATTTAACTCGTCATGGTTAATGGTGTCCGTTCTTCACCATTTACCATGTAGATCATATCTCGTTTTACTCTACACAAACTGATGCAGTCTCAAAACACTCTATGGTCTCCAATCACTATATTGTTGCAATCAAATAAAGGCGAATGTGCTTGTTTCGTTTGATTATGCCTAGCATAATTACCAGAAGTGGTCAACATGCACGGGCACGATCCTGTAATGGATCAGTCGTTTTGATATTGTAAGTAGTGACAACTGAGGTTACCCAGTCGATAAATATATTTGCTAATCCACGAGTTTGGAAAACCAATTTGTTCTCCTTCCACGTGAATGTAAAACTTCGGTGCTATAAAACTCCACCAAACTACTTGTTCGACATTCATACAACAATGATTTATGCCGATGAGCTAATTTCATGTAACCTAACATGAATGGCACCATGAGGTAGCCTCACTGAGCTAAGTGGCAATATAGCACCATCTGCCTGATGTTATACATTGTGATGTCGCATTAACTATCAACTGCGACTAACTCATTTATTCATTCATTACTGACTATTCCATTGAAAAGCCACCGCTCACATTTCTGTGGCTTGAGATGCTGATTGATATCATGTGCTAAGGTTACCAATCGGAATCCTAACTCTAATTTCCTTTCCATTCCGTGTTTACTATTTCCTCCATGACCCAGTGTCCAAGCAATGACCAACCACAGGCATGACCCTCACCGTCCACCTTGTGGCGATGCAAGCCAAGCTCCTATTTTTCCGCTACTCGTAAGTCCTTCTTTGCCTTCAAACTTAAGTCAAAGAGAGAAGTCAACAGACGGCCTCTATCATTCTTATACTTCAGGCATACGTGGACTCATATACAGTCGTGCTGGACCACATCGCACCACTGAGTGAAAAATCACAAGCATACATAGACAAGCCGAAAGTGTTTGTGACTAATGCAAGCCGTAAGTAGTAGACTGGCAAAAATCTGGGAGTGGAGAGTTGTCTATCAGTGGTTAACGGGTTAACCAAAAGCTTGTGGTTAACGTATTATATAGACACAGTAATCCAGTTGCTTAGTAATTATATAAGAAAAACATAGTTGATAGCAATAACAATATTCATGATAACAATTCAAAAACCATTTTCCAAATTTCCAACTTTTACAATATTCATCCCGTTATAACACGCACGATTTTCTTCTCACAAAATCTTCAAGCTTTTGGACAGCATATATTCAACTTATATTGAGGGAATAATCAATGTTAATTGCACAGTTGTTGGCTTCTCGCGTGGATCAGTTGTTGGAAATGCAGTATTAGTCATCGACCACAGTAACACAAGTGGGAATTTCTCATCGACTGAAGTGACAAAAGACACTGTTCGAAATGCTGTTGTGGCATACATAGCAGAAATGGTTGCCAATGGGTCGGAGCAAGTGTACTTCGATACATCAAGTGGCTTGACAGTAGAAAGTGAGTGCATGTGATATTTTCGAGCTATATTGAAATTGAATTTTGTGTTTAACGTCGGTTGAATAAACCAGTTTATCCTGCGAGTTGAGCGCCACGTTCTCAATGCATCTTGGAAGTTGATGATAGGGGAATCCGACACCGGAAGCGAACGTTGTAGGATTCAACTGATTATTTCTCACGTTAAATATCACCTGCATAACAATTAGCATGCATGTATGATGTGATCATCTATTAGATGCTCTTAATTTTAGTTCATGAAACTGTTTGGTCCTATTTCAAATTTGTTGTTCTAGAGAGACAATAGAAATCTGTCTTATCCTCAGTCACTTGTATAGGACCTTTCCATATATGCTGTTTGATATAGAATTCCGTTTACATTTTAAAGAGTCTTACAGTTGGTGAGATCACAACACACGACGAAATGGAATGTTCAGTGTTCGATCAACGAGGAAGTGGAATTGTTCACAAGTTTGAAAAACAACTCCATCACTTGCAAACCATCTGCAGCGAAAGTGTCTCGACTTCATTTACTGTCAAATACCTAGTCGCCTGCTATGGCTAGCAGCTAATCATAATCAGGATTAATTGTCATGTATACTCAGCTTTTTGTGACGTGAATAGATACACGTTTCTCATTGTATTTTCAGCTGTAATCCATGTGGCAACCACTGAGGTGATCACTGAATCTCAGAATACCGAGGATAACAAGACTACGGGTAAGTAAGTGGTTTGCAATTTTTTCACTGAGTCGATAATATACGCGAGAACTTATGTCTTAAGATTGCAAATTGTACGAGTAAAATACTCTGAATATTCACTTTTGTGAGGTGATTCTTCGACCAGTAATTTTGACTGAAGTATTATTGAGATAATCTTCCTCAGATAAAAGAATATGGAGTGACAGTAAATTAGTTAGAAAAATCCAAAATATCATATATCAGTATTCGCGACAACGCAGAAATGTTTGAAGTATGTGTAAGGTCCCCATATGACATAAAATTAAAGATGTCACGAGTAATCATGGTGTCGGAATGTAAGGCAGTACATTTAAAAAAGTAGATAAGAACGATTGATAAATCGAATAGTTATATTAAGAACGAATTAAGATGATGTGTATGTATGGAAGAAATTAACAAACGCTAAATTACTTCAAGTAGATAAACGACATTTCGGGCAGTAATGGAAATTCATCCATAATCAAGTTCGCGTTCCTCATTATCTGCTTTTATGTCGAAAGTACAAGGAGATTGCTTCAAATGTAAAATCAGAAATAGTGAGGATCAACAACCAAAGAATAAAAACAAATGGTAAATAGTAGAACAATCACTGAATTGACGAAACATCAATTGAAAATGAAAATGTGACCGTGTGATTTACATGTAAGGAAGAAACTGTAGATAGAAACATCGAGAGAAAATGAAGTTCGATAAATCGCTGAACTATTTTGAAAACATTAACAATTCTGAAGGTGAATAAAAGTGTACTGAATTCAAAGACACAAAAATTTGGGAAAACATAGAAAGAAGAAAACAGAAACATGAAAGAAACGAACAGACAAATCAGAGAAAAATTAAAACAAGAAAAAGAGCGAAAGCACAGCAAAATAAAAAAGATAAAAATAAACAAATCACAAAAGACAAGAAACTACGTATTCGTGAAAATGTCGTTCCAAAGAATTAATGTATGAACGTATGGAGTTATGATTCAAAGATGGAGTGATTGATGGATTGATTGAAGTAATGATGGATTGATGGATTAATTGATTGATTGATTGAATAATTATTGGTGTTGGATTTCGTCCATTGTAGCTGAGACCACTACTGGCACGATCGAAGTGACGACGGAGACCGAGATTACGGAGACCGACACTACGGGAACTGAGGTTATGTTGACGGAGAGTACAACAGGTGAGTGTGTTAGTTGATTGTGTGTATGCAATGTACGCAGTGTTGTTTGTGTGATGTTGTTTGAGTGTGTGTGTGTCTGTGAGTGATAATGTGTGTTGTGTTGACTTAGTAGTTGGACAAGTGGATTGAATTGTTGATGGAGAGAATGCATGGGAGACTGATTGGATGAATGTTTTGATGAGTGGTTGTGCGAGTGTTTGTACGAGTGTTTGTAGGAGTTGTTGGACGAATGATTGGATTGTTGAAGGTTTAATGTATTTGACAGATTGATCGATGGATTGATTGATTTGTTGATTTGTTGATTTATTGAATGATCGACTGATTGATTGAAGGACTGATGTGATGATTGATTGATGGATTGATTGATTGATTGATGATGGATTGATTAATTGATTGATTGATTGATAAATTATTGGTGTTGTATTTCGTCCATTGTAGCTGAGACCACTACTGGCACGAACGAAGTGACGACGGAGACCGAGATTACGGAGACCGACACTACGGGAACTGAGGTTATGTTGACGGAGAGTACAACAGGTGAGTGTGTTAGTTGATTGTGTGTATGCAATGTACGCAGTGTTGTTTGTGTGAGATGTGTTTGAGTTAGTTGTGCACAGAACTGATAATCTGGTGAAGGAGAGCATGGGTGAGGACATCCAGCTTTATTTAGGACAGATTACAGAAATACTTGGTGTTATTGAATAACCGTTTATTATATCGTTAATTTGCAAAATATCAATCTATCATATCAAAGCGGACTGTTGCTGTTGCAAACATCAATCCATTGTCTCACATTTCTTTTTCATGCGATTTCTTACGAATTCCATTGTGTTCTCGTTCTTTCTTTCCTGATCTTCTCCATCTTCTGCTGCCAGACATTACGTTCTTTTACCTCACGTTATATTCTACTTATGTCAATATAAGTAGCACGCACCACACTCCTCCCTCCGTTTAACAAGTTGCCGTCGTAGTCTTTCTGATCTTCGTACCGCTGTGTTCTTTAGTGCTTTTCGTGACTCACACCCACGATGATCTTGAAACCATCTCTGTAGCTGACTAGCATTTACGCGCTTCTGCTTGTCTTCTCTCCGGACCGTGTAAACCGAGCCGCGTCACCCCGTGATAACATACGTTCCCTCCCACTTTGGGGCCAGCTTCCCCGACCCTGCTCCCCCTGCTATGTTACTTTTTCGTTCTCTACACTTTACTAGGTCCCCCACTGCAAAGGGTTTCCACGTTCTCTTCTGTTGTTCCGCCTTCTTTGTGTCTGATATTTGTTTCTTCTCTACGTTCCTTATTGCTTCCCTCCTCTCTTTTCTTAACCTTGTTGTCGTCCACTTCTGTTGTTGTGGCCAGGTCTTATTATGCATTGGAAGTCGTGGTTCTCTGCCATACATGAGCAAGAAAGGTGACTTCTTGGTTGTTCCTTGTGTGGAGGAACGATGTGCCAGCAAAATCAGTGGTAGCTCTTTCTCCCAATTTCCTCCTTTTGATGCTAACCATTCCTTTAACGTCCGATTGTTTCTCTCTGTAAGCCCGTTTGTCTGAGGATGATACGGTGTAGTTCGTATTCTCTTGATGCGAAACTGCTTTAAACGGGCTTTAAACTCGTCACTTTCAAAACAGGGACCCTGGTCAGTTAATATCATCTTCGGTATTCCGTGACACGCTACAATATGCCGGATTACCACCTCGGTCACTGTCTTTGCCCGCTGGTCTGCAATGGGTACGGCATCTACCCGACGTGTAGCATGTTCCGTCATCACTAACAGGTACTGGTTACCGCTCGCCGTCTGTGGAAACGGTCCCATCACATCCACCGACCATAGATCACCGACTGCGGTTACTGGGATTGACTGTAATGGCGGTTGTGTGTATCGATCGCTTTTCATTACCTGACACTGCTGGCAGGTTAACACGTATTCAGCCACATCGTCTCTCATGCTCGGCCAGTATGCACTTTGTCGTAGTAAGTCCGTCGTTCTTGCGATGCCTGCATGTGCTACCTGGTGACACTCGTGTACCACTTTACGCCACCAGTCTTTCGGGATCACCGCCACCCGATTCTCATCATCGTCCTGCCAGGTCAGCACTCCATATGAGTTCACTCTCAGTCGTTCCTTTTGCCGAAGCAGCGTTATTACCTCCTTGTCCATTGTTCGTTTGTCTACGTCTGCTCCCTCTCTTATCACTCTGATTACCTTTCGAAGGTTAGGGTCAGCTTTCTGCTGCCGGACGAGTTCTAATGGGTCTCCCTCTAAACTATTCACCGCGTATGCTGTTAATGGCAGGTCGGCTTCCATGTCTGGTCTTGATAAGTGATCCGCCATTACGTTTTCTTTTCCTGGAACATGACCGATACTGAAGTCGTATTCTTGCAGGCGTATCATCCATCGCGCCAACTTCCCTCAGGGGTCTCTTGCTGTTTTCAACCACTACAGGGGTTTATGGTCGGTCTCAATGTGAAATCGTCTACCTGAAAGGTACGGTCTCCATTTTTCCACTGCCCACACGATCGCTAAACACTCCTTTTCGATGGTTGAATACTTCTGTTCAGCAGGTGTGAGGACGCGACTCGCGTATTCCACCACTCTATCAGCCTGACTCAACACAGCACCTATACCATGATCACTCGCGTCTGTGGCCACTGTAAACAGTCTTCCCGGTTCAGGCAGTCTGAGCGTCATCTGGCGATCGTCTAGCATGTTTTTGATTCGGTTGAACGTTTGTTCGGCAGTCTCAGTCCACGTAAACTTGGTGCTGCTCAATAACTTATGTAAGGGTGCTGCTATTTCGTTGAAATTCTTGACAAATCGACTGTAGAACGCCGCTCTTCCCAGGAACTGTCTCAACTTCCTTTTCGAATTAGGTACTGCAATATTTTTTATGGTAAGAATTTTCTCCGGCAATGGTTTTATTTCTCCATTTCCCACTTTATGTCCCAACAATGTGACGCTACTTCTCGCTATCTGCGACTTTTCCTTATTAATCCGAAGTCCAAATTCGTCAATTCGCTTTAAGACCGCTTCTACATGCTTGATGTGATCTGTTTCTGTTTGACTGTACACAACTACATCGTCGCCATATACCTCGACATTATCTAGATTCTTGAGCAGTAGTGTCATTAATCTTCGGAATGTGAACGTTGCACCCGCCAACCCGAACGGCATTCGTTTAAATTGATACTGTTTATCACGTACACTAAACGCTGTCTTGCTTCGATTACTCTGTTTTATAGGCAGTTGCCAATAACCTGGCCGTAAATCCAGCACTCTAAACACCTTGGCATTCTGTAGCCGATCTAATGTTTCCACCACTGTTGGCATTGCACAAGGCTTCAGGTCTGTTATATTATTCAATTATCTGAAGTCGACACAAAATCTATACTTTCCATTTGGTTTCTTCACCAAGAGTACTGGCGAGCTATATGGGCTGTCCGCTTCCTCAATTATACCTTCTTTCAACATTTCCTGGACCTGACGATTTACCTCGGCCTCTAAATGCACCGGGACACGACGTGTTGCAAATATATTTACTCGACTGTTCTTTATCGGTATTTCGTGCTTTACTCTGTCACAAAATCCATACGGCTCCCCATCTCCAGTGAATAGTTTCGCATACTTTTTGCATAACTCGTGAATGTTTGGTTCCTTTGACGAGACATCGGCTGCAACTCTTATTTCAGCCACTTCACTAATTTCGTGTATCGTCAATGAACCATATTTCGTGACCACCTTACCGCTTCTTAAGTCAACTATCGCTTTTACTTCTCTTAGGAAATCTGCTCCGAATATCGGTCTCGATAGGCTTGTGGTTACCACGAACGGAAAATTTATCTCAGCATCCCCCACTTTCACGATACTGTTAGATACGCCAAACACCTCTAACGTATGGCCTCCTATCGTGTGGACAGCTAATGTACACGGCTTGATTCTCTTACATTGCTCTTTGCCTATTAACGATACTGTTGCACCTGTATCGATCAGACAAACTAAATCTCGCTCATTTATGTTCACTCTCGTATATACTGCCCCTCTGTCTACTAACGCAACAATCCCCAGATTCCTGGGATAGAAAGAACACTCGTTGTAACGTCTAACATATCTGCGTCTTCGTCTTGTTGGACAGTTTATCTTCCAATTTCCTGTCCCTCCACAAGCGTAACATTTATCGTTCCTTTTATTGTTCACTCGTATTGCTGCAATCTCACGCTCCAGCTCATCAATCTTTTTCTCGACATTACTCATCTCCTGCTTTTTCGCACCCCACCGGAGCTACTGTTCGCGTCATCAGCTGACGAGTCACCTTCGCCAGTTCACTGATATCCATCGGTTGCGCTGCGTTCACCAGTTTTAGCTGTTGGGAGACGGTGACAGGCACACTCTCGATAAACTGTGACGCTAACAACTGTGCCTCCGACTCCTCATCCAGACTCGGCAGCGCACGGCGTAACAACCTGGTAAGCTCCACAGCCAGCACCAGTGGGTCACCATCGACCGGCAACCTCGCCAACCGGAACTTCTGCAGCGCGTCCTCTCTGTCCACTGGGCCGTCGAACTCCGCCACCAACCGCTCCGTGACTGTCTTCCATGTCGTCTTCCCGCCAGCAACGTCCAATCTGTCACACACAGCCTTCGCTCCGCCTGTCAGCAGCGTCCCCAGCACCACCAAATTCGACTTCGGCCTCTTCACTCCCACCAGCTGCGCCACGGCCTCAAACTCCTCCAGGAAGCTCAGCACATCTCCGCCCTCAAACTTCTTCGGCCATGGGATCTTCATCCTTAGCGGAGGCAGGGACACCAAATGTAGTGAAGGAGAACAGGGGTGAGCACAGCCAAATTCTATTTAGGACAGATTACAGAAATACTTGGTGTTATTGAATAACCGTTTATTAAATCGTTAATTTGCAAAATATCAATCTATCATATCAAAGCGGACTGTTGCTGTTGCAAACATCAATCCATTGTCTCACATTCCATTGTTCATGCGATTTTTTACAAATTCCATTGTGTTCACGGTCTTTCTTTCTCGATATTCTCCATCATCTACTGCCAAACATTACGTACTTCTACCTCACGTTATAAACTAATTATATCAATATAAGTAGCATGAACCAAAATACTACTGGTGATTAGGTGGATTGAATGAAGTGCACTCGATTGGATGGATGTGAAGTAATTTGTGTTCGTGTGTGTGTGTGTGAGTGAGTGAGTGTGGGATTGTCTGATTTATTGATTGGTTGATTGATTGACTGATTGAGTCAGTGAGTGCCTGTGTGACTGTGTGCGTCAGTGTTTGAGTGTTTTTGGGAAGGAGAGTGTGAGATTTTGTTTGATGTGTGTGTGTGTGTGTCTGTGTGTCTGTGAGTGATAATGTGTGTTGTGTTGACTTAGTAGTTGGACAAGTGGATTGAATTGTTGATGGAGAGAATGCATGGGAGACTGATTGGATGAATGTTTTGATGAGTGGTTGTGCGAGTGTTTGTACGAGTGTTTGTAGGAGTTGTTGGACGAATGTTTGGATTGTTGAAGGTTTAATATATTTGACAGATTGATCGATGGATTGATTGATTTGTTGATTTGTTGATTTATTGAATGATCGACTGATTGATTGAAGGACTGATGTGATGATTGATTGATGGATTGATTGATGGATTGATTGATTGAATAATTATTGGTGTTGGATTTCGTCCATTGTAGCTGAGACCACTACTGGCACGAACGAAGTGACGACGGAGACCGAGATTACGGAGACCGACACTACGGGAACTGAGGTTATGTTGACGGAGAGTACAACAGGTGAGTGTGTTAGTTGATTGTGTGTATGCAATGTACGCAGTGTTGTTTGTGTGAGATGTGTTTGAGTTAGTTGTGCACAGAACTGATACTAGTGGTGATTTGGTGGATTGCATGTAGTGCACTCGATTGGATGGATGTGAAGTAATTTGTGTTCGTGTGTGTGTGTGTGTTATGAGTGAGTGTGGGATAGTCTGATTTAATGATTGGTTGATTGATTGACTGATTGAGTCAGTGAGTGCGAGTGAGTGAGTGAGTGAGTGATTGAATGTGTTTGAGAAGGAGAATGTGAGATAGTTTTTGAGTGTGTGTGTGTGTGTATCTGTGAATGTTAATGTGTGTTGTGTTGACTTAGTAGTTGGACAAGTGGATTGAATTGTTGATGGAGAGAATGCATGGGAGACTGATTGGATGAATGTTTTGATGAGTGGTTGTGCGAGTGTTTGTACGAGTGTTTGTAGGAGTGGTTGGACGAATGTTTGGATTGTTGAAGGTTTAATCTATTTGACAGATTGATCGATGGATTGATTGATTTGTTGATTTGTTGATTTATTGAATGATCGACTGATTGATTGAAGGACTGATGTGATGATTGATTGATGGATTAATTGATTGATGGATTGATGAATGGGTAGATTTATATATTTTTTGATTGATTGATTGAATAATTATTGCTGTTGGATTTCGTCCATTGTAGCTGAGACCACTACTGGCACGAACGAAGTGACGACGGAGACCGACACTACGGGAACTGAGGTTATGTTGACGGAGAGTACAACAGGTGAGTGTGTTAGTTGATTGTGTGTATGCAATGTACGCAGTGTTGTTTGTGTGAGATGTGTTTGAGTTAGTTGTGCACAGGACTGATACTACTTGTGATTTGGTGAATTGCGTATTGTCTAGTCGAATATATCTCGTTCTCTTTTTGAATATTTTTCTGTACTTCCGCCGGCTATTTGTTTATTTCTTGATGGATTTTTTATGGTTCTGTTCTCTGCCTCCATTGCCTCGCTTGTATGTTTTCTTACGTTCTGTCAGTGTTTTTTGTCGTGCTTGGTTTTCGTTTTCGGATATGCATTACGCTCTTTAGTTTAGATCATTTTGTTTATTCTTTCCGAACCCATTTGTCTAGTTCACTTGTTTGCCTATTAACGTGATTGTTTTTTTTTACTATGTTTGTTATTCGCTGACCCTTGTCTTCATCGATCTGTATTCTATTTTCGTTGGACTTTAAATATCGATTGACGCTTGGTTCAAGCGAGTTGTCTCATTCACCTTGTCCGCGGCGCATCATTTCGTTTCGTCTCGCTCTCTCCTCTTCACTTTCTTCGCTTCGTTTCTCTGATCATTTGTCTGGATCAATGATTGTACGAAACATACATACTTAAAACTCGTTCTCGTATTTGACTCATCAAACTCGGTTATTCACTAACGCGAGTTAATTCGATGATAATATACGAGGGTTGGCGGTATGTATATTTCGATGACAATCATCACACGATATAATTGGAGTCAGATATCAGGCCACCAAAAGTGGTGAGCTCGTCGATAACAACATCGTTCGATCTAGTTGTCGTCAAAATGAAGGGCCACTCAACGTGACCAGCACGACGACGAACCTAACGCAGCCAAACTACGTCGATGATGAACCCTCTACACTCCATACTTTCAATGCACGAACTCAACGTAGCTTGCTCAATCGATAAACAACACAGTTTTCGACCATACGAGCAAATCGGAGAGAGATCACAGCACCACTAAAGTGGTAGGCCCGACTTCGAACCTAACGCAACCTGGCAAACTAGTCGGACGATGATCGTCTCGAACTCTACGCATCCGTTAATCAAACTAAGTAACTGAATTGGTCTAAGAGACACTCAAACTACTCAATCTCTAATCCGACACATTCGGCGAAGCCGGTACGGTGGGGACATGGATATGATCAAGTCGTATGACCTTATTGACACTTTGTCCTCGTGTCACCTCTGCTCACTGAACTGTTTAGCGCATCGTTCCATTATGATTATAATAATTATCATATTATCATTATCACATTAATGTCACACCACCACCTAACGTGGAATTATTATTGCTGTTCGTGCTGATATTAGATCATGACATTTAAGCAATCATATCACACTCTCCATCAAAGTGTAATTTTATGAACATTTCATTTACGTTATGACAGTCGAAACTCGTTGCATAATTCTTTGATTTTTCAATAACGTAAAATTTTGCTGCTTTATGTGAGTTTGTTCCATTTTCTCCGCGTCATTTTTGCCCTGTTATTACACTCATTCTTTGATTTTTTCAAGGACGACACTCTCATGATATTATTTTCTGTTTTTCTATTAATACGTCTTACGCACACTTCATCTAAGTTTTCGAACTGCTGTTGTCTATTGAACTGTCTGAAATTAATTCGACATCAGTGTTATATATTTACGATTTTCTTGCTGCAAGTTTAGCTACATTGTTGTCTAAGTTGGGACCGTTAATGTAGTTTGCTACTGTTGTTCTCGTCATCACTATTATTGCTTGATTGTTATTTATGTTGGAATTCAAATTCTTCAATATATCAGATTGTACCAATATCATATCGCAAATTGTGCCACGACACATTTGCTGCAAGGTTTTGGTTGATGATGATTGACTGACAAGGTGATCTAATCTAGTTTATTACACCGTCATATAATAATGAAGAGACACATTAATGTGATGACAAACTGGCTGGTGAAATATGTTTAATTTAGGTCGTTTACAGAAATATGTTGAATGCAAAGGCGAATCTACAGAAGCGATTAGAAAATTGGAAATCATTAGAAACAGACCTGATGTGAGCAGTAGATTATGTGAAGTGACCTGATTGAGGCATTCAGTGATTTAACCTTCTATTCACTCCAAATTGTTTACTCCTGAATTCACGTTTTCATCATTTGTGTGCTTATCTAAATTCAAGTTGCTTTCTCCAATGTTTTGTGTTTGTGTTTCTGCTTGTCTATCTGCATTGCATGTAACCAAACTCCATGTGTTCTTTTAATGAAAATTTTCTTCGTTATCTACTTAAATGTTTTATAGAAGGCAACCTCACGAAAACAGTAGTAATCGGTAAGTCAAAATATGATATAGCAGTTTGTTTTGTCACACCAATTTATTTTCCTTACTGATTGTTTTGATTCTGCTTTCCATTTCATTCATCAATATGTGGTCACATTGCATTACATAAACGGTTGGGTGAATTGTTCCTCTTGGAAATTCAGTTTAGCGAAGAGATGTCACATATAGTACGCTCATATATTGAAATTATTTGTCAATCAGTATCTATTGTTGAGTTTCTCAGGGTCGTCTGGTCGCGTTGGCCACTATCTATGTTAAACCGGAATGATTCATAATCTTTCCAAGTGGAACAATTTAATTGTATTCGTATAAAAGCTAACAAGTACTGAAATTTACTGTAACTGTGGAAGTCACGTTATATTTGTTTGCTGAGCGTCACTTCACTCACAATATTGTTACACTTATTAACCAATGTGTGTGGGTAGACATTACTACTTGGTGTAGAATTCTTTATTTTCATAACAAACCAAGAGCATATAGCATTCAGTGTGCATGGATGTGGGAAATCAAACAACCATTTACTTCATAGTGTCCATCACTTTGATAGATCATAATCGAATACACTTGGATTTGTGGTGTGGAGTTGAAGAGAGGTCGTTCAGTTTTGTTTTGTTGTGCAACAGTAAGTCAACTCAATATTCTCCTTTCACTGAGAAGTCGGATTTAAATCAACGAACTTTGACTTGTTGGAAACTATTTAATTTCTTTTGTAGCAGTCTCATCAATGCTGACTAGATTGAACAAGTCTTTGGAGTGGAATGACAGTTTATTGGATCCTAGTTCCGATTTATATCGAAATTATTCAGCTGAAATTTGTAATTTGGTAAGTTTGTTACCGAGTTCTCAATTGAATTTACATAAAAATCAGGAAAACTGATTAAATGTATAGACAACCTGTGTCTTTTGATAAAGGGTTGAAGTTTGACATTTGAAGACGGTTTTTGGAAATATATGTAGCTATTTAATAGCTATTTATAGAAGACAGAGTACTATTTAACTGTTTTCTCCAACTGTGACGAATAGTACCTGTAGAAATTCAAGATGTTGTTTGGGTAGATTCCATGATCATTGTTTTATGCAATTATGGATTTAACTCGTCATGGTTAATGGTGTCCGTTCTTCACCATTTACCATGTAGATCATATCTCGTTTTACTCTACACAAACTGATGCAGTCTCAAAACACTCTATGGTCTCCAATCACTATATTGTTGCAATCAAATAAAGGCGAATGTGCTTGTTTCGTTTGATTATGCATAGCATAATTATCAGAAGTGGTCAACATGCACGGGCACGATCCTGTAATGGATCAGTCGTTTTGATATTGTAAGTAGTGACAACTGAGGTTACCCAGTCGATAAATATATTTGCTAATCCACGAGTTTGGAAAACCAATTTGTTCTCCTTCCACGTGAATGTAAAACTTCGGTGCTATAAAACTCCACCAAACTACTTGTTCGACATTCATACAACAATGATTTATGCCGATGAGCTAACTTCATCTAACCTAACATGAATGGCACCATGGGGTAGCCTGACTGAGCTAAGTGGCAATATAGCACCATCTGCCTGATGTTATACATTGTGATGTCGCATTAACTATCAACTGCGACTAACTCATTTATTCATTCATTACTGACTATTCCATTGAAAAGCCACCGCTCACATTTCTGTGGCTTGAGATGCTGATTGATATCATGTGCTAAGGTTACCAATCGGAATTCTAACTCTAATTTCCTTTCCATTCTGTGTTTACTATTTCCTCCATGACCCAGTGTCCAAGCACTGACCAACCACAGGCATGACCCTCACCGTCCACCTTGTGGCGATGCAAGCCAAGCTCCTATTTTTCCGCTACTCGTAAGTCCTTCTTTGCCTTCAAACTTGAGTCAAAGAGAGAAGTCAACAGACGGCCTCTATCATTCTTATACTTCAGGCATACGTGGACTCATATACAGTCGTGCTGGACCAAATCGCACCACTGAGTGAAAAATCACAAGCATACATAGACAAGCCGAAAGTGTTTGTGACTAATGCAAGCCGTAAGTAGTAGACTGGCAAGAATCTGGGAGTGGAGAGTTGTCTATCAGTGGTTAACGGGTTAACCAAAAGCTTGTGGTTAACGTATTATATAGACACAGTAATCCAGTTGCTTAGTAATTATATAAGAAAAACATAGTTGATAGCAATAACAATATTCATGATAACAATTCAAAAACCATTTTCCAAATTTCCAACTTTTACAATATTCATCCCGTTATAACACGCACGATTTTCTTCTCACAAAATCTTCAAGCTTTTGGACAGCATATATTCAACTTATATTGAGGGAATAATCAATGTTAATTGCACAGTTGTTGGCTTCTCGCGTGGATCAGTTGTTGGAAATGCAGTATTAGTCATCGACCATAGTAACACAAGTGGGAATTTCTCATCGACTGAAGTGACAAAAGACACTGTTCGAAATGCTGTTGTGGCATACATAGCAGAAATGGTTGCCAATGGGTCGGAGCAAGTGTACTTCGATACATCAAGTGGCTTGACAGTAGAAAGTGAGTGTATGTGATATTTTCAAGCTATATTGAATTTTTGTGTTGGATTTCGTCCATTGTAGCTGAGATCCCTACTGGTGTGCCTGTGTTTGCGTGAGTTGAATGAGTGTACTGGATGATCGAAGTGGATGTGAGCACTAGATAGTGTGTGCATGTTGTTTGATGAAGTGATTGGATTGAGACGATGACTGAATGAATGTTGCTGGTGGTCGCATCTTCTTGTGACATGTCAGTCACCTCACACACTATGTGAGTGTTGTTTGGTCTGTGAGCATGTGGTGGATTGGTGCGAAAGATAATTTGACGTTTTTGAAGTCCTTCATTCTGTTTAGGAATACCCTGTTGAATACTTTTCCTGGTTTTGAACGAAGAGTGATGCTTCTTCAGTTCTCACATTTGCTATGTCCGCCTTTCTTTGTTATCTTGATGAGATGTCCTTCAACACTATTTGTAGAGTTGGTTTATTGTTAAGGTGTAGTAAAATCCGCAAGCGTGCAGAAAGCAAGTACACAGGGAAACAAATAAGTGGTAAAAGTCCACATTTATTGTTGAATGTTAATCGATTGCGAATAAATTATTCATTGTCTTCGTTTACAACCAATGAGAGAATAGATCAAGATTGACGACCAGACATTTTCTCATTCAGACTTACACAAAATTTTATATAGTGGATTAAATGTCTAAATTACAGCGAGTAGACAAATAATAAGGTGTAGTTTATTAGGCTTACTACAATAGTATTTAAGTAATTTCTATATCAGTACATTAAATAAAATCCTTTACAAAAATTATATTGACTATGTTCAAATTATCATGATTTATTATTATTGTAAAATATGTATTCATATTGTTTTTCAGAGACAACTGAATTAAGCAAAACGACTTTCAGTACGAAAAGTGAGTTGGTTTTTTTCTTCATTGTTTATACTTTAAATATTAAGTGTATGTCAAAACTTTTAATTAGTCTTGTACTGACAGATTAATGTCGAAATTTAAAATGATGATTTCTTATTTACGTCCTTATCATTTCACAATATTCATTTAATCAAGTTATATTACTAAACTAAGCAAAAACTTTATAACACTATCAGTCAAATAGAATCAGATTTCATATTCACCTCATAATATTATGATTATTTCCCACAACTCTTAACCATTTGCATACAATTGGTCAGCAGATATTTTCATTAGTATCAATTGTGGTCATAAGTTCTACTCAGCCATTTTTCATCCAAGTGACGGGAATTCCCTGAGAGTCTATTACCAAGATTCCTTACTCTTTAAGAAGTTGAAAAGAGAATGAGAAAGGTTTTATGAAAAGAATGGTTGAGTCGAATGATCTCAAGTGGTTTATTTAGTTGATAAATTATAAAATAATAGGCTTAGATTAGATATCTATCCAAAACTAAGATTGTGTTACGAAGAGACCAGTTAATTGTAAATTATTCAAAACTTTTGTGGTGTTTTATAATTTATCGATGACTTTTATCTTATTCAATCGATGGCACATCAAGCTTCTTCTATTATCTGACTATTTCACTCTTGTTAATAACATTTCCCCAAAGGTTTACTAAAGGTGTTCATTTAGTATTACAGGATACTAAATAGATCACAGTGTTTAGTACCGGGTGATAGATCTAAAACTTTATCCAGGAATTTTACTGATATATTACCTACTTCATGAACCAACATCTTCAATGAATGTTTCTTCAAAATGTATCATCTATGTAAGAAGAGATTAAGATAATTTTAACATTCAAATTGTCTAACGTAAAGGTTTAAGCTGTGATTTATGAAAATAATATTAACCTTTTTTTAAAACAAACAATTATTACAATCTATGCTTTAACTTACATTAAACAATCTTATCAACTTAAACCAGTATTAATATAAACATTTAAGTTGTTTAATTGCTACAACTGATCTTAAATTATAAATATAACATCCAGTTTTTTTCTAAAAATGTTAAGAATGTTTAATAAGCTTCTTAAGAATACACTCGTTTTAATGCCTGCAAACACCGATTAACCTGAAGATAAATTTTAAAATAAATTATACATCCTCAGTTTTACTGCATTAGATTTAATTATACATCTTAAAGTGTGATCAATATCATTTTAGATATACTAGAACTATCAATGACAGTGGAGGTTTTAATAGGAAATCAACAAACAAATTGGAATTCCGAACTGTCTAACAAATTTTCTGAACTTTACAACAGTACTGCTGAAAACACCTGTGCTTCGGTATGCAATCATGTCATTTTATTTTATGTTCGTCTATTTTAGAACTGAATGTTTGACAGGTCTTTTGTGAGGCCAAAAGACCATTCTTACATCCTAATAAATTACATACTTATAATCAAGATGCAAATATGCTGTTCTCATGATTTATAAAAAAGGCCTGTTTTGCTTTAAATAAAGTTAGGAATGTATTCGTTGAATTTTAAGGAAAATTAATACCTTATCCAGTTTCACCTGTTAACATTGTTATTAAGAGCCAAATAGTTTACAATACGAATTCACAATCAATATAAACAGTGAAAACATAAATATAGTTTATAAAGAATGTAATAAGCCTACTTATTGAATTGGTTTAAAATCCAACATTTTTATTGAATTTGTTTCCAATATTGCTTGACAATCCTCCACTATGAAGGTCAATGTATATGAGACTCTAAAAATGAGTGTTGAATGGTTATTTTTAAAAGCAAGGGATCATGATATTCTTTGGTACAATAACCAATTTATTTTTCTTTTCATATTCACAAGACTTTTGGAAACGAATGAATTCAGTCTTTTTACTGATATATATTTGAATTTGTTACAGAAATAAAATAAAAATATAAATTTATTACAGGGTCAAAGTAACTTTACACTAAACACATGAAACTATCACTAACAACCAAATTGTATGTTGATTTCGAAAATTTCAGGAACGTAAACAGTTTACTTTACGCCCAAAATTACTATTATATATATATATATATATATATATATATATATATATATATATATATAACAGGGGTTTCACATAACGTAAGCGGTTACGAATATATTTTAGTTGCTAACGATGACAGTGGAGCTAAATTAACAACATAATGTTAAGCAAGCCGAAAATGTCTACATAATCAATAAATTCTCTTCAGTGACTAACTTATTGTATTTTAATTGTAATAATTTTCATGCATTAATGATGGATATATTTATGCAAAATCCATAGATGACAAATTCAATAAGAACCAGGTTCATCTTAATAGCATTCTCCTTCTTTTTCTTCTTCACCTCACGAGTATACGGATCTGGAGACCACAATCTCTCTAGCAGATTCAGTTGGCAAATATCATTTCAGTAACTATTGATTTTACAATTAAACATTGTGATCGACACATAATATCTTGATCGTACTTTTAATTCTCGACTTACCAAAATGGTATACAATATCAGATTGTCTAAAACATACATACTTCAAATACTTTTATATTCAAATTTTTATGTGTAATCTGTTATTAACATGATTTGTCGACAGAATGTATATGAAGCAAAATAGGATACATAGATTTTATTACCATTATTATTATATTAAGCAACAGACATTAAATATTTACTGCATGCTTCTACTTGTAAATTCGTCTTTGACGTACATTCATAAAAGAATTTATTTCAACTCAACATATCACATGAATCTCCATAAATTTGATTTATTATGCTTTCATCTAATATTTCTTTGCAGATAAAAGCCAGCCCTCGATATATTACATCAATACAATACACCGTACGTACTTGTACTGTTCTTCGTTTTTATCCGGGATCTGTGAAATCTGATGTACAGATAATTGTAGAATACATAAATGACCTCAATGTGACTCAAACACAAATTCTGCAAGCAATTCAGTTGGGTTCGCAATTATATGTAATAGATCTGTTAAAAAATCAGTCAATCGATTCCAATCGTATAATATCACTTAAGTGTATGTTTATATCGTTAAAAATTCATTATGTATAGAAAATACTTATATATATATATATATATATATATATATATATATATATATATATATATATATATATATATATCCACCGTATCCTCCAACTCCGTTAAAGCACCGGACATTCGTTTTTTGTCCTCTAAACACCCCCGCTACGAGATAGATCTGTTTTCAACATTATTTTTCTTCCCTTGATGAAATTAATGTAAGTAGCATAATATGTATTAGTTTTGTGCTTCATCACTTCCAGTTGGAAATGTAGCAATTCTGAAGCACATACAGATATTAGTGTTTTACATAAAAAGATTATTATCGTTTCTCCTAAAAGTTTACGTATTCAAGCAAATAGAACAAAAAGTCATCATTTCCCTTAAATATCAATTAAGCAACTCATTAGTATTTTGTTTATTTCAAACTCCAAGAATTTAAATTTACTCCTGTAAGGGGTTATAGTTGGAGATTTTTGAAAAGTCTTGTAGCAAGATGAAGTAATTGTCAAATGCTGTGTGATTTTAATTGCTTTTATATACATCGAAGTGATCAAGAATAGATCTAATAATAATACTACTAAGACTTGAAGAAATATTATTTTTATCCTTATGAACATTGTTTAAAAGTATTACATTTTATAAGAAAACTTTTAAATGTATTTATATTTTATTTATTTATTAAAACACATAAACATTGGTACTAGGAGACACCAAACACATATGCGCCACATAAATCATTCGATTTTTGTGAGGGCTGAACTGTTGCTCAGGTGCCCAAACAGAAGCAGGTGGTTTTCTTGGGGAGCCACAACCCGAGCCTTCGACCTGAAGGTCTAATCCACAAGGCAGTGAAGCACCGTAAGGGGATGCAATCCCATGGTAGCTGGTGACCAATAACTGGTCCATACGCCTTTTTTCTTAGGATCCTGGAGCCCATGTACACTATTGGTTTGAAATCAGGGTTTTCCAACTCCCCTAGGTGGATCCTCCATATCCACCAACTCGGTTAAAGCGCCGGACATTCGCTTTTCGTCTCCGCCACGAGAAGGCAGTGAGTAGGACTCCCCTGGCAGCCGTTGTATGCACGTAGCAACTTGAGAGCATTTCAAGAGGGAGAGCTATCCCCACTGTCGGCCGTACTAGGGCATTCGGGGGACCAGGAACTAATTAGGGAAGAATAATGTCTGCTTATTTTACAAAAAAACTAACATCTTCAGTAATAAGTGTGAAGACTCAACTTAGATATATAAATAGATTATTCGGTATAAACCTTGTAGTTTATTGTTCTCTTCTATACATATAAAACGACTATTGAAATGCTAATAATTAACTACTAGAGAATTCATATACGTGAAAATTGGAAATTCTTCAATTTCCATTCTATGTTCATTTTCATGAACACTAATTATCATGGCATTAAATATTGTAATATAATATGGGACTACGAGGCAATGCTCATCCATGATCTCTCATGCGAGGTTCGATTGGTTGAAGCTAGACGGTAACACCGTTGGATGATGGCTTGGTGGTATAGAGATTAAGCGTTCACACGCGAGACCGAAAGTCCTGCGTTCTAATCCCGCGTGCGGGGTCGTGGATGCGCACTGCTAAGAAGTCCCGTACTATGATGATGTGGCCATTCAATGCTTCCAGATTTTCAGTGGTGCTTCAATATACTGAGAAATAACTATTTCTCAGTCGTACGATATGTGCACTCCTAATGCAATTAAGTGTCCTTTTCAGTCCCGTTAATTATTTTGATATGACTAATTGGCGCGACTATAATTTTGGGATGAACAAATCAGAATTAGGATATCAGTTTTTTGGTGAGAAATTTATTCACCCATTTAGCTAAATAGTGTCTCATCAGTTCATGATGGAAACCTTGAATATAATTTCTAACCGTAACCATCAACTTTAAATCAAAATTCTAATTCCTCACACTGGTTTATAACCATCATTTGGTTCTAGTTAGTAGGTGGACATTCTGAAGGTCACTTTAGTGTCTCGCAAAGGTCGTTCATAAATTATAGTCTCACCGATTGATTACTAACATTTATTCATGTATATTTTTGTAATATGTCTGGAGTACTTACCTATTTGTTGTACTATGTATGATCATTAAAACTGAGTCGGCAACTCAAGTCAATACACACAGCAGCACGATTGATCAATATACCAATTCACATAACACGCTACCTGCAAAGTTTGTACAATATACGTGTGCATGAAATATATAATTCTTATATATTGTGTAACTTGTTAACCATCTTTATTAACTAATATCAATCCACTGTTCTTCATTAATCTGTTTAGTAATTATGCAAAAAGAAACTTGTAGTACGATCGCATCAAAATGTTCACCACATGCTCAATGCATCGAGAGGTCTGACGGTGCCGTTTGTGTATGTAATCCAATGTGGATAGATTTAAACATGCAACAGCCCGGAGAACAGTGTATAAGTACGTTTAGTCACGTAATGCATAGCCTTTCACCTTGCCCTCTTCCTCCAAAAAAACTATGGTGACAATTAGCATCACTTAAAATTCATAACTGCGAAGTAAAATATCTGAATATAACACTGCTTACGCTAAATGACTTATAAGTAGTTAATGACAGTACGTGTTTCAGTCTTGAGTATTAAAAAAATCACATCAATCAAGTTTCCTTGTACTTGATTTTAATTACCTAATATGAGATACAGTAAATCGAAAAGTCAAAATGCTTATTCTTGTAGCAACATAGTAAATTGTCCATCCGAATCCGGCCGACAATTATGACTCATTAACCACACATTAGTAAACAATCGATGACCAAGCAATGTAAACATACTGACTTTGCAAAAGGTCGATCACGATACGAATAGCTTTTTTCTAAAGTATGTGACTGGAGTAATATGTGTAAAGGTGTCACGGACATTTAGGGTTTGTCAATGCTTCTATCTGCAACGATCTTATCATCAAGAATCCCAAACACAGTCGAACCAGAAGTCAGGAATGAAGAAGTTCCAAGATATATTTACAAGTTAGTATATATATATATATATATATATATATATATATATATATATATATATATATATATATAAAACTAACCATCTACAATCTAAAGACCCTTCTCAACTTTTGTTGAAGTTCATTTCAAAATCAGTATTTTCTTTAACTAATGTCACACTAAATATACATGTCCTCTCGAAATTCTGTTGGCTGGGTATCATGTGTATTCTAAATTGATAAAGAAGTTACCAACATGAAAAACTGTTATATAAGTACATTTGTTTCGGGTATCACTTCACTTTTCATTTCTTACTAGCTGGATTTTTCGGTAACATTGATATACTGAATTCAGATAGCTATATTTCTAATCCATGGTTGGCTAGAGGAATGTTTCTGTATATTTATAAGTAGAGAACAAAATTACCGTTATATACAAAACCTGAATTTAAATTACAATTCACTCCAAACATCTATTTAATGAAGTACTAGATGTTCGTTTAACTGTATCCTAAATTTATAATAATCACCGATATCAATAATCCCCGTAAAAAAAAAATTACTCAGTAAAGTCTCACAACTAAATTCAAGATAATTTATGAATTATTTACCAAATAATTCATTTTTATTGGTTGTTTGAATCTTTACAATGACGTTTAGGACTGTAATGATCAGCAGGTATATCCAGCTGAGTCCCAAATATAACGAGAAATGCATCCTGGTTCCCACTGCTAACCACCATTCAACTCTACTTATAATAGTTAGCAAATATCTTAACACTTATCAGCTCATTAGAACTGCATTGAATAGAAACAAAACATAACTTTAAAAATCCCTTTGTGCAATATTTGTAACAAAAATAATAATAATAAATCCCTGATAAACCTATTTTTAGAAGGAATCTAATAAACTAGAAACATTGTTGGCATATTTACTAGTTGATTTATTCAACAAGATGTGTTTCAACATCATTGTGTTATTTCAATAATTCTTTTTTCTTTTCAGTAAGTCCAACTGTAATAGCGCTAATTGTTATTGGAACAATCCTAATCATAATAATATTTGCCGCAGGAATATACTTTGCTCTTCGTACAGGCAGGAATGGTCAACGTTTTATACATTCATTTGCTTAGCAAATAAATATAATTTAATAATACTCATTATACATAGATCCGAAAAGAAAATATAATCAGTATGTACATTGAATAATCATAATAATTATAACTTATATTTCGATATTATTTGTATTATTTGATTGAAAAAGGAAAATGTATTTACTATAAATTTTCAGGTTGAAAGAATTTTCTGTAAAATTTTATTGCATAAATTTCTTTTCTTTACATCTACAATCTATCAATGTATTTAATTAAATGTGATATAAACAATCCCATTTTTTGTCGGCTTTGTTTATAAATTTTTATGCCGATTTCCCTATATATTATAATTTCTTTCGATGTTCAGATTCTAATTTACAGAATCATATTTTGGCATCTGATATGTTACACAATAGTGAAAAACATACCCTTAAATTTATTTCAATTCTTTATGTAGAAATCTTTGTATTTGTAAAAAGAAAAGTATATACCCTTTTATTATCATTTTTCATAGTTTTACTTATACAATAAAAATTTTCCATTGTTTTTAAAACGAGATTTTATGAGGTTTAATATATGTTATATCTGTCAGTTATAAAATTGAATAAAACAAATACAATGAATCAATATCCTATCATGTTCATTTGTGTATTTGATATAAAATAGTAGGAATGATTAACTGAATAAACTTTCAAACACAATGTTTTTACCATAAACATATCAAGATTTCATTTATGTACCTTTGAACAATAAGTATCGTTGATATATATTCACGAGCTCAGTGAGTCTTTGATGACGTCTGTACTGAAGACTCAGTTTCAGTTTTCTTGTTTTATATGTAAACCTAAATAATCTATTATTTTCTTACAATCTATTGAGAAGATTCTTTTTACGATTTCAGTTAATAAATCGGATGGCATTTAAAATTGTTTGTTTCGCATAAAACGGTGTCTGAATGACAGGAAATTATTAACTTTAAGACAAGATTCCATCCACAACATAAAAGTCCTTGTTTTTAAAAAGATAGTGTGAACTAAATGGTTATAACAAAATCATGGGTTGCTTTCTAGTGAAAATTCGAATAGTTTTGAAAGTTTTTTTTTCAATAAAATAAAAAGAAATAAACAGCTATTTATTTTTAAGAGTTAGGACATGATTTTTAAAAACTGAGTAACGTAAATCTGAAATTCCCTTACGTTTCCATTTGAACAACACATGTACGTTATAGCCTGCTATAAGAATTAGTTCATTCCTTAAACCATAGTTTGTTGATGATAAATCAGGTACCTAGCTAATTTCCATTACACAAGTGAAGACACTATATTCAGAGAAGTATCACATTTCGACGACTCTACTATTATGTATGTATATAATTTTCTAACTTAATTTCGTGAGATACAACCAGTTAATGTAGATGATTACGTCATGAAAACAATCTAATATTGTAGTTTAAATCACCAACCAATGTTAGCTAGACAACCATTGAAAACCAGGAAGCGTAAGACAATTCCTTCATCCTAGAACCCAGGTGGTCTAGCGTGCGAAAGTCCAATTTTTAGTCCACAACTGAAGCATTTGATGGTGAACATTTCTAACTTCAATCACTTCGCAGTACTGCAAGATTGTCTTTGGTAGCACGGTGTGACTAGGAGACTTCAGCCAAGTTGCGTGTGAGACGGTTATCTACCCCAGACTATGGAAAGTGGTATTACAATATCGCGAATTGATGAAAGCTAGGCATGTACAGCACTATATTCTGTCTGTGGTCAAGAGATTAAGCGTTTGCATACGAGACCAAATATCCCGGGTTTTATCCTTTGCAGAGGGGTTGAGGATGTGCATTAGGTAGTCTCATAGTAGGATGAAATAGATGTCTAGTGCTTCTTGTTTTCAATGGTGGCTTAGATGTTGTGGATGCTAGATAACCAAATCACTTGGTAAACGTCTCATTTTGTAATTTTATTTTGGAAATTTAAATGATACCAAAAACAACTGAGTTATGGGAATGTAAAAAACGAAATAATGGAAAGGCCACATTTTCAAATACGGAATGTATGAAATGAAAATAAAACAATGATAATAGTTCAATACCACGATAAATATTGACATAAAACATACTTATTTTGTATCTAGTATTCAAACTTCTTTTCATGGAAAGCTGAAATTTTTGATCTTTTAAAGAGTTGAAGACGAGGAAATCTTATTAAGCTTGTACAGACTCGATGACCAACCTTGAACTCAACATGTGGGTTAGCCTAAATGATCAATCGACTGAATGTTCAAAGAAAAGTAACTTTAAATATTACATAATAATTAGTACTATTTTAGATGGTATGTAGCTGAAGAGAATCTATGGAATAATTGGATCCACATCATTCTTCTACGATCACTGTTCTTTCTTTATTCAAATTTATAGATGGGACAAACTGGGTCAAATAAGTGATCTAAATAACTGTTCCTAAAATTTACTATTGTAAAACAGGTTTAAATGTCATTTTTCGAAGCCTTTTCCGTTTTTAAACTTACATGCTTCACGAAATATGTGAATTTTAACTTATTGAATTCTTTTGAACAGATTTATTTTAATTAAAAATGAAAACAATTGAGGTTTAACATAAAATGTGTTTGTTTTTCAAAGTAATTTGAAGGTCATTAATACCACATGGTATTACTTTTCTACTATTCATGCGAAAAATGGATACATTAACATATGACTCAATAAATTAAATTGGTTAGATGAAAGTTTTTGATAAATCAATCAAGTGTGTACAATCGTGTTGAAGAAATGAAAATAGAATTTTCGAAATAGTCAATACAAATAATAATATGAGAAATTGAAGAAACTAATTTCACAATAAAAGTTGGACTCAAGAAAGAAACAGAAACAAATGACTAAGATCCAATAGAAAGTCAGTTTTTATCACAGATTGATATCAAAAGTAGAAAACCCTTACAGTCACTCTTACATAAGGTCGAGCTCAGGATACTTAGATCTCATCACAAGTAAGTCAAATTCAAGTCCCAAACGAAGACACCATTTTATACTCTTACTTTTTATACCCGTTTAAATAATTAAAATTAATCTTTAAGCTGAACAATCCACCACTAAACTAAATAATAACACTGAGTAGACAAGAGATTCAAACTAAACGTATTAAGCATCAATCAAAAGGGACTAATACTAATATATTCATATGATGTCCGTGAGAAGCAACTTATAATAATTCATATATGTCATTATACGACAGACTATCAATCTTATGACTTAAACTCAGTCTTCAAAGATAGTTTTTGTCAACCAACACAAAACTAATTTATATTGACAGAAGACAGAGAAATATTTGTTAGTCGTTTCGTTCTACGTAGTTGATTTAAACCACACGTATTATGTAATACGTAATGCAACTTTCACCGATGATTCTTCAGACAGATTTTTCTTAGGAAATTATCACGTCATCTAAGCATCTATCATAAGATGAATACGTTGCATAAATTAGTATGAATCTTCATTTCTAGTTTTAAGATCTCTCTCATTTAATCAGTGACTGGAAAAATAATCCCACATATTTGGTCAAATTTACGACGCACACTGTGAGATTTGAAAAACTGACAGTGGTGAAATCCTAATATGAGAACCGGATATTTAAAAGGTAGTTAACAATGGCGATAGTGTTATATGATTAGAAATCAAAGTATGATTCCGTTTGGTACTTATGTTAATTTAAATGAATGACTTCATTTATTTATTGATAATGAATCTAACACGTGATGTCAATTCTTACTTCGTTTGGTTAATATTAGAGTCGGTAATTTACGGAAAAGAATTTTTCAGATTTAACCAGAGGAAATAAGTGACTCAACTTTACTTGCTTAGAATTCAAAATTGGACAAACATATATCCAAATATAGGTAGAGAGTTTAATCATACATATCAAATGTCATAAATATAAGGATCAGGAAATTATGAAAAGTATTAATTAACTTTTATACTTTTCTCAAAGCTTTGGTAAAAGGTTGGTGGTTACTATATAATTTCTTCGTTCAGTGGAAAACTTTGATTAAGTATTTCAAACACCTGTGCTCATAAAAAATCAGATGAAATGTGTTATTGAAGATAGGAGTAAAGTGTGTAGTAATCTGAAGTTACTGTACAGTGTGTTACAATGAAACTAATAGACAAGTTAAACATTCTCTGTTGGATTATGTTTATGGCCAATAACGGTGAAAGATGTTTCTTCTTTGGAATCAGTACCATTATCACCAATTTCAGGAAATGTATCTGACGGTCGACCAGTACGTGAGATTAAACGAAAAACAATACCTGAGATTTGATATCTATGATTTTTTGGAGACTGAATGCCAATCAACTCCCAAGATGTAGAGGTATTTGTGTACGTAGACCTACAGATGGGGCACTGCGTGCGATTAACATCTGAAGGTCTGCAGCTGCTGGATCCTTGACCAGAAACAGACGATTCTGAACTTGCTGACGGCAACTGGTAACTAATTCCGGCCCTAGATAAAAATAATGTTAAAGTACAGGTAAATAAGCTTGAACATAAAAATATATTTAGATATTACACATAAGTGAATGAATTATTTATAAGACTTACTGAAGCCGAATATAAGGCACACTTAAGATAACTATAGTATTATTGACCTTCACTGTGTAGGTATTTTGACATCTTAATATATAAAACATTCTGTAACCAGTAGATTGTATATAACTATCCAATACCTATGGAAGGCAACTATACATAATTGGAAATCGGAGGATTTCGGGAATGCATTCCAGCACGCACCAAAAATGGCTTCCGTGGATAAAAGGAGATGAATTCACCACATCATTACAACTGTGACAGTAAAAACAAGATGTAGACTAGCTTACCAAGTAGCAAGTATATTAAGCAGCATTCTACTCTGTATTTCAGTACGCATATGAAACAATGAATGTAACCAAGACATGTGCGTATTCATTACTCACCGTTTAAAAGAAAAAAACAGATCACTCTAAAATATCTTTTCACATGTACTTCAGCTTGATTGACGACAGCTAGAGCGGCAGTAATACTTATGAAAGAAAACGGTCTCAAAGAGCTTTTCAGGTAAATGAATCTCATTTTCAGTGGAATCGAACAATTCAGTATATTTAAAGAATTTCAAATCTAAATTGTTAAAAAAAACCACAATGGATACTTCTATTATATCAAAAAATACTTGAATTACAATGTTATCTAAAATCTATCGTTGCTATGTTGTCAAATAGTAATATAATAATAAGACAGACAATTCATTTCTCGACAACAAACTTAATCTAGATGAAAATACTTAGAAAATCACTAGACTTTAGAGCAGTAGTGGATTAACTGAAGAATGGATCCACTATCCCTAGTAAAAAAAGTGCCATTATGCTTAGTGAGTCAGAAAACAGACCATGTAACAAAATGATGAGATATCTAAACAGCCTGAGCAACAATATAAGAAAGTATGAGATTAAGATGTATTCTTCCAAATGAAAGATAAGGCTTTTGAAGCAATGTCCTGATTACCAGCTCAAGGGTAAACAATGAACTACTCAAGCGTGTTAACCACTTAATAATTCACGAGAGTCTCATAAACCCCAGCTGGTTGGCAGTTGATATTTCACCACGGTTACAAACTGACCTGGTACTTGGAAATTCGTGTCACTGATCGCATACAGTGCTTGGTTATTTAATATAGTTGAAGGTGGAAGGCATGAAAGCATTTGATCACCGATAGCTTAAGAGCATTTCTCGTACATAGTAGGACTACTGATATTTATTTTAAACGCAGCGTCAGCAACGAAGTTGGAAGATCTTCTGAAAAAAGCCTTGGCTTTGATGCAAATAGTAGTTGAAAAAGAGGTCACATTCCCAGTTAAGCCCTACCATTAAGGGCCATAGTGGGTAGAATGAGAATAGACTGAAAAAAACCTTGAAGACTCGAACGAAGCATCAGTCCGTGAGAATGTTTACGTAGGGTTTAGACTGTGTAAGAAATGCACCTATCAGAACCCAGGCGAAAACTGTGAGTTGTGACCGTTGACCTTATATAACACGCCTAGCAAACCGTCACAGTAGTAGTGGCGTAGCTGCACTTTTTATTTCATACTAAACTACATGTTAGCCATCATTTCGTAATTTCCGTCCTTATCTAGTTTGTTTCTTCAAGACATATTCTAATGTATTTGGTGTTATTATTTTTACTCCAGCTACTCGATACCATTTTGTGACTGGTTATTATAATTGGATTAGTACTGCAGACATTTAAAGCCTAACATAAAGTCAATGTATTCAGATGTCTTCCACTAATTATGGGGAAGCATCGCTACAACTGCTAGTTCTTTGTTAAAAAACCAAAGTCAGTAAATCCTGCTATAGTAAATCGTACAGCTTTACCCTTGGACCTCAAAATTCCCGCTTTTCGCCTTCTACCTCACACAGCTCTATCGCATCATCACGCCAAGCACCCTTGGCTATCAAGTTGAGCAGAAGCCACAATCCGTTATAAAGTTGTGTGAATACCTAGATCGTTATTGGTATTCAAGTACCTTAAAGACCATCCAGCAAAGAATGCTATAATGCTGTGTAATATCAAATGAACAATACATTGGACCATTACACTCTACCACAGCAATAAAATCTTACTCTTATATATGGATGAATAGCTTGTCTAACATAATGTCAGTACATAAAACTGCAGATATGAAATATCGCGGTATATTTAGACTTCTCACTTAAAACATGTGTGGCATATACGACCAACAAGGACTAGGTCTATTTAAGCATTATCTCCGATTGTATATTAAATGTCGTGCAATTGCATACCCTTACTGTTTTCTGAATTCACTTTTACTATTATGACTCTTTTGGTTTATCATCTTTGTGACTCCTCTATGTAGTCATGTAAAGTGTGATAACTAAGACAGATAGGTTTTTTGTCTACTTGACAAGTGAACATAGAAATAAAATGATCTTGAACATTAAGTATGACGGGTCTCACAACGCCGTGAAATTCCCGTACTTGGAGCCCTTCTAAAATTGACTAGGTATTTTGCTATTCTCTGACTTGTAAGGAATAGAACAACGTAATGACCGTATTTATGAAACTCACCAACCAAAGACAATACAAATGACAAAAACTTCAAAAAATCATGAACTTCGTATATTTTACTCAGAATGTAAACCAAACGTCGAACATTTGTGCAGCTTCAGGAATGTATAACGAAAAACAGTGGCATTTAGATAAGCTGTCGGCAACCGGTAATAAAACGGCGAAACCGCCTGATGTGAAGCATCTTATGATAAAGTAACAGGCTTTCACTACAAAATTTATTTATTTATTTGAACACATAAATATTGGTACAAGAATGCGCCACACAGAAGCTACGTTTCAAACACTTTAAATTTAATCAGTCGGCATAGCTTACTGGTGAGTTCTTGCATGATCATGGACTTAATAGCGAATCACTAAGTACGACAGCATATTTCTACACATAAGAATTCTAGGTTTCTTGAGTTGAAAACACTTCGACAAAAAAAGTTAATAACTTGGCAGCTTCATTAAAGGATATATGTGTCCAAGTTAACGAGCATCAAACCAACTAAACTTTAGTCTCGCTTTGTAATTTTTGATTGTTGACTCTTCGATATTCCGTGAATATATCAACACTGGGATGCAAGTATACACAGCTGACTAGTCCAAAAAACAATTGCGTATTTAGGACTCCCTGCTATCTAGAATCCAAATATGCTGAAACAATATTCTTAAAAGCTACATGAATATCCTAAATACAGCCATGTTTATTATTTTATGGAACTTCAACAACAGGACTCTGGATTCAGAAATTCCGCTATGCAAAGATCCAAGAGTGGAATCTAGGGTTTGAGCGAATGAATTTATACTATGCTTAGCTGCAAAGAAGCAGTAAAACGGTAACTGAATTAGAAAGTTAACTCACCATTTGTTAATGCATGGTTGACAGAATGAGTGCATACAAGCAAGAACAGTGTCGGGCTCTCTATCCAAGCAGATACAACAAGGATCATTAGAAATTTCCTTAGCAAAATCCCTAAAGAATATTAGATATATTGATTAAACGACAAGCTACGGCATCTCAGGTTGAGAATCAATCAGTGACTTGAAGCGGATAATCTCATCATATAACCGCAAAAATTCGATAAGCTCAAAAGTTCTGTATATTGAACGGTTTTTCTTTGACTAGTATTCTCGTAGTTCATTCAAATAGCTTACAATTCTACAGAAGACTTTAGCCGATAATCGCCAGAAAAGGTTTTCCTGTTGTTTTTTCAAAGCGAACTTTACGAAAGAACACTGTTCTTCAAACGTAGTGATACACCTAAATGTAAGTAGAAAATACATACTATTTTTACAGTTGATTTAACTGGGAAACCATTTCAACCAAATCCTCATAACTGGTTTTTGACAGTCTAGTCGTCAAACATATGTTTTGGTTTATATTATGAAGGGTCTCATGTAGCGCAAGTTTCATGCAGTAACCCAAAGCTAAACACATGATTGACTTAAATACGAAACTTACATTTTGGTGGGTGTGGTCCAAACATAATCCACTAGAAGCCCTATAAGATACACGTTTTGTTTTCAGTGAGCCGGTGAAGAAAGATGCACTGCAACTAAAAGTGAACAATCTAGAACATAGAGAAAAGGAAGGATGCACGATGAAACGGTCGAGCCGACCAGGTAACGAAACTAATGGTGGCGCGCAACCTGACCTATATTTAAGCACAGGTTTGAAAAAAATGTTTGGAATATTTTGGCCAGCCGACTATAAATAAAAATCATTCGAACAGTTACTCTGCTTGAGGCACCCCTAGAATTATTGTTGATTTCAAGGATGGACAAAGAAAGAAGTTTAGCGAGGTTGACAACCCCATCTCATTGGAAAGAACGTTGCTAAAATACTCTATCCAGGTCCAGATTCTGTAGAATACATCTGTCGAACAGAAGTTTGAGAAAGGTAAGAGCGGGAACACCTAATGCAGATAGCATGTTTCGGTCACTCTATGTTTCATTTTCCTTCTTATGTTAAGCATATAATTCTATAGTAAACTTCAAAGTATTCTGTTGCAGTGCTCAAAAGGCACACTGCTGACTGCCACTACAGGGCGAGTCAGTATAGGCAATGGTGTGACATCGATGTAAGACCTTATAGGTTAGTTAGTCATATTTTGACAAATTCACAATAATGAATTAGACCTATTGTTCTGGTGACACAAGTGATACTAGTGACACTCCGCGGACATTAGATTAATTCCTTGAGAGCACCCTAAAACTTAATTCACTTTCATCAGCATACCAGTAAACTCGGAACGTTGCATACACCTGGATACTATCTGTCCGTTGGAATATTTTCGTCTTCTAAACACTAAAGGTACAAACGCCCTCATGAGTACCAATTTATGATTTAATCCCATCAACAAAATATCCCAGCATCTACATTCTATTTGCGTTATTTCAGTAAACCAACTGTATTTCAGACCAACTTGATGATTCCAGCCTTAATCTTGTGGAATAAACTACTCACCTCTGTGCGAAGAATCTGTTACACCAGTTATCGGGCTATACTGTGAGCTGCCAACTTAACTGGATACATTCGAGGAAGCGCTTTATTTAAAAACATAACTTTTGCAAGTCAGATCGAAATTACAATAAAACCAGTGAGAAACGACAAAGTTTATCTCAGATGTGTGTGGGTTCGGGGACTAGATATGTTGAAATGTACGTTTTTTGCAAAGATAAATATCTTGTAACAAAATGAAACTCAAAATTATGGGTTTCCTGATTCACAAGGAGCAGATACTATTATCTTCGAACAAGATCTTTCCTGTTAGGAAACTTCATTATGAATGGATACAGATGATGAGCCATAGTCAGGATTTTCATTTAGGTAACAGCCTACTAACACCCATACTTTGTGTGTAACTCAAAGGTGCTATTCTGTAATTTGAGCGAAAAGTGATTGAAATCTTGAAGTGACCGAAAGTTAGAAATAGCCTCATACCTGAGACTTTAGAAACAATGGTAAAGGGCGACTAGTTACTGCCTTGTATTATACCTCAAAGCTTGATACGGTAAGCGGAAGATGTGACTATGATGGCTGAGAAAGCGATGAAGTACCAGTGATGTAAGTCTCTGTGAATTTGTATTTTGGCCTAGTTTCCTCCAAACCGACCTAAAACTAAGATAAGGATGAGCTGGTTCACTATATAGCAATTCAACCAGGTACATTGTTCACAATAAATTATCAGTTTTTTGCAACCCGTATCATAACATATGTAAATGCTTGTCCCAAGACTATTACTAGGTAGTCTGTAGTAGCAATGGTTCCTTAGAAGCGCTAAACATCGTATTGTTGATTATCATGATAGGAAGACTCAGTGTAGATAGTGACAAGACTTCCACATATGATTTCATATATTAGGTTTTCACGTCATGATATATATACAATCTCGGGATTATGTCTATTATTATAGTAGCGAAGATAAATGTACTGATGACGAATATAGGCTATAATCCTACAAGTTCACACATCCTCAGTGTCTCTGACAGATCAAGACAAGAATAGCCTCTCACTATTTAGTGAGTAACAGTAACAGGAGGAATACTCTGAAAAATTCTCCAGAGTGCTATTTTGGATGTTTTTATCTTTTATTTGATTTTATACCCTGTCTTGTACTCCAATCTTTACCCAGAACTCGTGTAACCGAAGTTTTACGTCTCCTGGTCACTTCAGATCTTTAAAATTTTATGATGATTAAGAGTCACACTCATTACGTAACTTCATTACTTTATTGTGAAGGAAAATTGACAGTACTGTAGTTTTTGAATAAACCAAATGTTAAGCAGTGAAGCAATTGGTCACTGTTATTCTCTGATTGTCATTTGGAAACAGCTGATTGAATCTTTGCAGATAGGCATTGCATCCGAATATGTTATGAATGTACTTATTGATTCCTAGGCATTTAATGTTCATTAATTAATCATTCTTTTCTCTGTAGAGTATGCTGTCTTGTTTTGCATTAACATCTCCACAGTACAGAGCAGTGTACATCGCCTCCAAAATTGAGATCAACACACTTTTACAAATTGCCTGATACATGTGTTTTTGCGGCATGAAACACATAGCCAAGCGGTTCTGTAGAGGAACTGACTCCTAAAGAGGATGCTCATACCACAGAAAGCAATGAAAAATAAAGCAAACTCGTAAGCAAGCTGGAAAATTGAAACAATAAACGATGATAATACTGTAATGACAAGATTTTGACCGAAAAATCGATATTATTTGAATCTAACAAAACTACTGTTTTGTTCAGTGCTGTGCTCTCAACAATGGCAGAAATGAAAACGATAAGGATGGAATTTATGAGAACCTGTAGTCAATCAAAAAGAAGAGGCCTGACAATCGACGAGGAAACATAAACGCCACAGTCGTAATGAACAAATCAGTTATGGAGAAATTATCGGAAGGCATGGGTCAGTAAGAGGGAACGAAGATGGCGGAAGATTCATAACAAAATTTGCAACATGTTTGCGAGGGATCTGTAACAACAGATTTTCAACTAAATGACTATAGAGGATACTACTCCCAAAACGACGCATGCATAAAGCTGCATGGGACTCACAGGATCAAACTTCATAAAACTAGATCGATTTCATTTTCATTAGTGAAAATTCAGCAAGCCCTTGGAAGATGTAAGAAGAAATAGAGGAGCCGACACGGTTTCACCTATTCAGTTTGTGGTTGCTAGGGTGAAACTTAAACATATAAAGCACTGCATAACCATACAAACAACATTCCAAAGCCTCAATACAGCCTTCTTTCGAGATACTACCAAACCCAAGGAATTCAAGATTGCTCTCAACAGCAGGGCTCAGGCCCTGCAAGTGGAAGGGAGAAAAACCACTATGCCGAACAGCTGGAAAGATGCTAAAGAAACATTAACCCCAAAATGCTGGGAGGTGCTGAACAGTGAGTAACACCGTCACATGGAGTATACGTCTGCTGGTACATAGAGCAAGATTCAGGAAAGAAAGAGAAAGGAGACGCTGATTAATGAAAGCAGAACAATAATAGAGAAAGTCAAGGCACACGCCGAATACTCAGATGAAACAATCAAAAAAGTGAAAATTACAATCGACAGGCAGAAATACATGAATGACCTACTGATTGCAGCTGAAAACGTTGCAAAAAAATGAAACATCAGACAATTATATGACACAACGAAGAAACTAAAAGCGACATATAGTTAATCGGAGAGACCAGTCAAGCACTAAGAAGGCGAACCAAGCACTCAATTTTAAGGACAGGAATAGAAGGGTAGAATAGTTGGAGGAACTTTCAAGTATGCTAGCTCCATCGAATCCATCGCATATCGAAACAACTCCAACAGGCCTTCTTATAGATCTCACTCCGACAACGATCAAACTAATCAGAATGACCAGCAGGCGAATAAATAGTGGGAAAGCTTCTGGACCTGACAACATGCCAGCTGAACCTTTGAAGCCAAAGACAGGAGTAGCAGCAAACACGCTGCAGTTTCTGTTCAAGTTGATTTTGGAGGAAAAACAAATTCCGATAGATTGAAAAGAACAACACCTCGTCAGGATACCAAGAAAAGGAAATCTTAGCGTGTGTAAGAACTACAAAGACACCACACTGCTCTTGGTGTCAGGGAGAAGTTTTCAAGTGTTTTTGAAACTATTGGAAGACTCAGTAGACGCTCATCTTCTAGATCAGCAGGCTGGGTTCCGTAAGGATCGGTCGTGCAAACACCAAATCGCGACAGTACGCATCATAATTGAGCAATCAGTTCGATAGGATACATCATTATACATCTACTTACATGGTTATGGATCTTTCTTCGTCAATATCATCCGGAATTCATACGACAGACTGCATTGTAAAATCCTGCATTGACACCAGCAGAAAGACGCATCCGAAGAAGGGAGTCGGACAGGGCCGCTTATTCTTTCCCTTTCTTCTAGTGGTTGACTGAATTGTGGAGACCTCCACATCTGATGGAGGCACGGGATACAATGGACAGCCTGTACGCAGCTAGACGATTCGGACTTCGCAGATGATCTGGTTCTTCTGTCCTATGCACACGAACAAATATAGATGAAAAAGGCAGTGTTTCAGCAGCATCTTTTTCAGTAGGCCTTAGCATACACAAGGGAAAAAGCAAGATCCTCAAATAAAACACAGAGAACACCAATCCAGTCACACTAGGTGGAGAAACTCTGGAAGAGGTTAAACATTTCACAAATCTGGGTAACATGATCGATGAACCCGGAGGATCTGATGAAGATGTAAAGGCGGGGGTCAGCAAAGCAAGGATAGCATTTCTACTGTTGAAGAACATAGGGAACTCAAGACAACTGTCAACCGATATCACAGAATCTTCAATACCACCGTCGAAGCAATCCTACTGTACGGAGCTGAAACTTCGAGAAACTACCACAAACATAATCAAAAAGTGCAAGTATTTATAAGGAATTGCCCATGTAAGATACTGAATGTTCGTTGGTCGGATACCATCAAAAGCAACCTACTGTGGAAGAGAACAGACTAACTTCTATCTGAAAAAGGAATTAGGAAAAGATATTGGAAGAGGATAGGACACACGTTGAGGAATTCACTAAACTGCAGGTACTTACTTGGAAACCTGGAGAGTAAAACGGAAAAGAGGAAGGCCAAAGAACCTACTGTGTCGAGAATTGGAGGCAGATATGAAAAGGATCAAGAGCAACTCGAAGGAACGGTGAAGGATTTCTCAGGGCAGAGTTAGATCGAGAATGCTGATGAGAGGCTTATGCTCTCATATGAGGGGTAAAAGTTTTAAGTAGGGTCAAAGGGTGAACACTAGAGGATGGAATAGAAGTGCATTGGTCGGTCGTGCATGCGTGGTCACACAACCTCTTTCTTATTATATTAAACATACCAATTTCTCCTCAGCCCAAACGCTGTCCTTCAGAAGTGCCAGACTTCATACTCCTGAGTTCATGAGAGGACGACTCAGTGTTAGCAGTGATGTGACTTCTATTTAAATCTTATAAATTAGGTAATGACATCGTGACAAATCCACTGTTTTTGGATCAGATCTTTCGTGCCTTAAGGTAACCCTCGTGCTATTGATAGAGGAAACCAGACAAGTAGTGAATAGGTCTTTCTTTTGATCTTCGCGCAGTCATAGTAGAGCGTGGGATTATTTGTTCAGACAAACAAAGCCTCTCAACATTCAGTATAAGATAATAGGAAATATAACGCCTATGCAAAATAAGGAAGCGAATGAATATTTGAACTATACTGTTTTGGCATATGCTTGGTTGTTTAAGGCCAACTCTTATCCAACCAACCTAAGCTGTTACATTAGCCTCCCCCTTAGAATCGACTTCGGTAGAAACGTCGGTTCGATTAACCTAGCTATCAAAAACACCTTAGTTCTGTTTTCTCGGCCCAAAGGAAAATTATCAACTCGTTCACTGTTTGAGTTCCAATCAATGACGACTAATTCCGTCAGCAACCGACGATAGTCCATGGATGTCTCTTCATTTGCTAGCTTGTCATTCTATTTTGTAGCATGTGATTTCTTCTACAATTATCGCTGACGGTTCGCTACATGCTCTCAAGAGAAGGAGTGTGAGAACGTGGAACAAGAATATCCGAGGAAGTGCCGCGAGCGGGATACCCAACACCATGTTGGTGAGGTACGATTTTTCCATGCTCAGACCGGCTATCAGGTTTTACTCACCTGCCTCTTGTGTCACCCTCAAGTAAAAAGTAAAGAAGAATCTACTCCAAAGGTAATGGTGAAAACCAGTCAAACCTGAAGAAATGCTCCGCTGCCTGCATAAAATAATAAGATACCAAATGGAAATACATAAATATAGTTGATAATTGCTCGGTTCCATGTAAGCGATTGGCCTCCAGAACGGATTGGTATTCTGGAAGGACATAGACATAGTGTAGACATCTTGCGTACAAAAAAAATATGAAAACCAAAATAAATACTTTTTTATAATGTATATATGTAAAAGTGTAAACTTGCTAGAAGTTGGACTCATTATCAAACCTTATCAAATGTATGACCTTGGGTCTATGACGACCGCCTTTTATAACCAGGTACGTAACCAATGGTGCATAAGAGTATTCCACAAAACAGAAAAGAATATACGTTTAAGGAGGAAAAAAAATTGTCTAGAGTATGAGGATCAAGAACAGTTGTGTCAAACTCTTTTCTGGTTTGATTTAAGTATGCATGATATATTGAAGCAATATTTCGTCAATTCCCAAGCAACACAGAAAGGGGAAATAAAGGCGAAGAAAGGGGAAATAAAGCGGACGAAAGCGTAAATAAAGGGGAAATATCGCTTTTTCGCCTTTACGTCGGTTATTTAGGGGAAATGTCGCTTTTCCCCCCTTACATCGTGTATTTGGGGAAAATTTGTCGACAATTCTACGTAACGTACAGTGTTCGAATGCACCGCATCCGGAACTGAAGTTTTCATAAACTTCGACAAATTAAGGCACCGCTTAATAAAAAAACAAAAGTATTGTCATAGAAACAATGTACAAAATACGGAACCAGGCATTCGGTTGATACGCATATAGAGTGACTTCGTTCGTTGTTTAGCTAAAGTGTTCCGACATGCTTTGGAGCCACAAAGAACTTACGTGATGCAGGTGAGTGACGTGCTCTCAGATTTTCATGTTCATTGTAACTGATTACCTTGTAAGGCCAATACTATGAGTTCTATTGAAGTCAGTGAGAATGTTCGTAGACGTAGGGCCACTGTGAACTTGTCGCGTTCCCTTGGCTGTCATGGATCCACTTATAACAGAAGGTGGAATAAAATGAAAGCTTCTTTCATGAAAAAATATGACTTTCTTTCGCTCAGTGAGTTTGCTAATAAAATCACTCTTAAAGGTAACTGAGTTCAACAATGTTGTTTATTAAATTGATAAAAGTAAATAGAGAAATCAGTTGTAATGAAGTACTCCAACTATTACACCGTCCACTAGCAACATCAATCAAAGGCTTCCAGATAATAGTGGTATGAACATTAAATTCGTACGTGAATATATATCTTATAGGATGTACTGAAGTGAACTTGTGCTCTCAAAAGTTCGCGAATCTCGAAGAACTGATGAACGACTTTATGATGTCTATAATGTCAAGTACATCTCTGAGCATAAGAGATGCTGATCGCGTTCTGTATGGTCTACGATTTCTTATCCCGGACATACCGAAAAGCATCAGAGGTGTCCTAAAGACGTGTCCAAGTGTTCAACCAAAGTTCATCGGCAGTGGGGTTTACTACCATCTAGGATTGAAAACCAATCTGCTATGATACGTCGAGCTTTGGTTGTGTACAATTGATTTTGACTCTTTAAATTTATATGTCAATATAGATGGACTTTCTATGTCTAGAAGCTCCAATCAACAGTTATGGCCTATACTAGGACGGATCATTGACCCTAGGTTTAGTGACGTGTTCATGATAGGGATCTACGGAGGGAATAGTAAACCAGCAGAATTCAACGAATGTTCTGCGGACACAATTTCTGAGATAAAAGAAATGACTGACGTTGGTCTTTTTAGTGTCAAGTTTAATAAATGCATAGCTATTCGGTTGGCGGCTGTTATATGTGACGCACCTGCTCGTTCTTCTGTTAGGTACGCGGTGAATAATAACGGTAAGGCAGGTTGCGATAGGTGTACCGTTCTTGGGAGACGGCTAGAGGGTAAGACGACCTTTCCAAATGCGGTATATACTTTAAGAACAGACGACACCTTCCGTCGTCAGACTCAATCTATTCACCATCAATGACATTATATAATGGAATCGCTTTCAATTAATATGATTATAACTTTTCCTCTAGATCCTATGCACACGGTGTACCTTGGTGTTACCAAGAAACTAGCTAATTTATGGATAGATTTAGCACGCTGAAGACTGCGGAACTTTAACACATGTGCAATTCGGGACATAAATAATTTAATATCTGGTTGCGTGGCAAGTACTCCTTCTGACTTTCCCAGTAAATGCCGTACACTAGACTTTGTATCGGCATGGAAAGCTTCTGAATGTAGGTTGATCCTTCTGTATTTAGGCCCGATGATTCTTGAAAAAACATTGCCACAACCTTTTTATCTTAATTTCCGGCGTTTAGCGTTATCCATGTATCTGCTTGCACATCCAAAATTACATAAGTGTTGTAGAAACCGCCAAAATAGATTTACTAAACTTCCTGAATGAATACGAATGGTGTTATGGGTGTGAAAACTTAGTTTACAATGTGCATTCGTTACAGCACCTCCCTGACGACGTTCGTGCACACGAACCTTTAGATAGTTTTTCAGCCTTTCCATTCGAGTCTTATATGGGACAAATTAAGGATTCCGTGCGTAGTGGGTTTGCAGTAGCTAAGCAAGCAGCACAGCGTTATGCTGAGAGAATGTCCTTCAGCGATAGGCTTCAAATGATGTCTCCACTAAACAAGTAATTATGTTTAACAACAGTGAAATAACTTCATGTCAGCCTGATAATGTAGTAGTAGTGAATGGCCAGCCAGGTTTAGTCACTGATATAAAGGAGGATGGACTACTACAATTTAGGACTTTCACAGACCCACGCAATTACTTTGAAAATCCTTTCCCATCTAGTGATATTGGAATCTTTAGGTGCTCCGTAGTTAGCCATGAACACACATGGATCTCAGTTAAGGACATAGACTGTAAATGTATGGCCATAAATTGTAGGAATTATCTAGTTCTAATCCCATTGCTGCATACTTGGCTGTAAATGCATTTTGTTTCACTAGTGTTTAATAAATGACGACAAATAATTTAATTAAGTCTTACATTATTTTCAGCCCGCTAAAATGAAGTACGTCATTGTTGACGTCCTCAGCAAAAAACAACTCATGATAGCATCAAAGGACTGGATAGTTGGCAATGACCTTTTCCTTCTTCCGAACGAGCTGGTCGATATACACCTGCAGAAGTGCGACCAACCGAATGAAAATTGGTCACTCATGAAATGTAAAGTGATTCACGAATTAGGTAGGTGACATACACAGAAAGTATAATTCACTATAGATTCTCTGCAGTCTGCCAAAGATCTGTTACTTTCCATACAAATACTGCAATCTCACCGGGAAAACACTTCAACGGGTGAAAACACTCTGCCACATAACACTGAGAAGCACAAGAGGTATGTACAATGATCTTACTAACATGTCCTAGAGCTGCCATGAAGCGTAAACAAGAATATCTTTACAATTCAGTAGACATGGATGTTGCTGAAATGCAGACTGGCAACAGTCATGTTCAATATCCCAAATTCAGGTTGTTTGACAAATTAGTTTCGTTTATTGCTAAGTAAGTTTTATGACTATCTACATGTTCAAAAATTAGTTCGACGCAATTAGAGACATCTCCGTCTACATTGGCATCAAAGCGTGTCTGTAGAATTATGGTCTGCTATGATATTAGTACTGCTCTAATATTAGACCTAATCCTAAAATTATAGACTTGTCATGATATAACTGCCTGATCTACAAGATCCTACGTGGAATTCACGTCATCGTCTACACCAACTCATTGCATCACAACAATTACCAATACATGATGGAGAACAAGCTTAGGCTAGAGATAGGACAATATATTTAATATGGTTAAAATATATAAGATAACAGGGACCACGCCTGCATTGCCGAGCCATGCCATTCAATCAACTCCAACTCATTCAATTCCTTATTCGCGCCTTCTCCATCGTTAGGTATTTCTCTGCGTTAAATATTGAATATCTATTTTCCGAGTAATTTCGTATTCAGCTTTGAGGATTGTGTAGTTATGGTCCAATGCCACTACATGTCCATGGTGCTTCAGCAGACCAGTAAGTCACCTGCATAATCAAGTGGACTTTTTCAGGTTAGATAGGTTGCATGCAATGGTGCAAAACATTTTGTCAACCATGAATGACTTCAGTCAAACGTTGCTGAATATGTCAACAGCCATTTCGGATTTGAGTGTTAATGTAAAGCAATTGCTTTCGAAGTCTAATGAGCGCGAAAGACCGCATCAATTCGATTGCGGACTATCGAGTCAGCAGTTCCCTTTGTCATCTGAAGAGGAACTACAGATGCTGGATGCTGGTTTGTCGCAGAAAGAAACCAGGGACAGATTTGTAAGTCATTAACATGAATTTAATAATTTGTTACTATTACGGATGGCAATGGTCACTAGGTCATCAAGTGACGATCCAAAAACGTCCATGAGTTTTGTTCTGTCGCATCTGCTGACACCGGAGGTTGCCAGTAAATTCACGTTACTTGGCACCTCTTTAAAACGAGCGCTACAGAAATGCACGTTTTACAGCTGCATACGAAGTAACCTATATCTATTACTTAAACTTCAGGTGCCTTAACTCATTGCCTTCTGTCATCCTATGTCAACGAAAAAGACCTTGGTAAGCTCTATGACATCGCAACACAAGGTTACTTTCACGACCTCCGAGACAAGATGATAAAGCGTTATAGAAGAAAACAAGACCAGGCATGTACTAATTTAAAGTGATAACCTCCCTACGGCTCTATAGTTACAGTCAACAATACTAACGAACATAACCGTAAGTTCAGCTTCAAGTATTTGGCTGTACCAAAGCATGTCATTGAAATATGGCTGTGCCTTTTTTTTCTTTTTTTAATTCAGAATTCACGGGACGACTACCTCAATTCTCAATAGCCGTGCAATTGTTTTGATGTTCTACCTACATTTCAATAAACATTTTTTTCGAACAGCTTACTCTTTTACTTACATGGGAAACTGTTGAAGTGTTGAGAATGTGTGTTTGAGTGTTAGTTAACTTTTGGTGAAATGCACATTCCTTATAAATAAAACATCACCTGTTCCTTCTTTTGCAGATAATTTCAAATAACAATGAATTAGCAATTGCATTGGATATGCAAAACAATCGATGCTTAAGCTTCGGCTCTAGTGTTGTACAATAATACGCTTTTCCTCTTAAATACAAATTTTCAAAAATTTACCGCTTTTCCACTGCATTACAGATATATTTTGGTCTGTTTTTGAAATTAAAAGCGAACATAGAAGTTATGTGTGTATTTGGGTAAGACGTAGGCAATTCCGCGGAAATTTAGGCGAAAAGTAGACGATTCGGCGGATATTTAGGTGAAAATTCGAAAATTCAGCGGTTATTTAGGCGAAAATGCGACAATTCGGCGGATATTTAGGCGATAAGTCGGTAATTTGTCGACAAAACGGCGAAAAGGGGGAAAATCCGCATTATTTCCCCCGGACAGGCGAAAAAGACGACATTCTGGCGCGTTTTCCCCCTTCGCCACCAAATCATTTACCCCTTTATTTCCCCTTTCTTCGCCTTTATTTCCCCTTTTTGTGTTGCTTGGGTTCATCCAAGTAACTAATGGGTCTGCAGCTTAGAAGTGTGTAAGTCCTATTACTCATTAGTATTATGAATGATTAACGGTGTAAGGAAATACTGCAGTCATTCCCCCCCGTGATCTGATGTGGTCTAATGGCTAGGCACGCGGTCTAGCATTCAGGAGGGCAGAGGTTCGAGTGAGTGTGGGACCTGCGTTTTTGTTCACCAAACCCCCCCTAATACGATGTTTTTGCCCATAAGTCGGTCAGACTTTGTATGGACCTCTAATAATAATTGGTTTAACGTTAGCATAGCTGTGATAGTCATATCGTCAGTTCAATGTTATGATTATTTAACAGTTCCCTTATAAGATGTGTTTAAAATTAGGTATGTGGAATCAATGTGGCTAACATGGTAACCTAACAGTAACGCACTGTACTATATCTTCACGGTTACTTACTTACGCCTGTTACTCCTCGTGAAGGAGCATAGGCTGCTCACCAGCATTCTCCATCTAACCCTTTGCTGGGCAATCCTTTCCAGCTCCGTCCAGTTGTAATTCATCCTTTTCATATCTACTTCTATTTTCCGACGCAATGTGTTCTTTGGCCTTCCTCTTTTTCGCTTCCCTTCAGGATTCCAAGTTAGGGCTTGCCTCGTGATGCAGTTTGATGATTTGCGTAATGTATGTCCTATCCATTTCCATCATCTTTTCCTAATTTCTTCTTCAGCTGGAAGCTGGTTTGTTCTCTCCCACAGAAGGCTGTTGTTGATGGTATCCGGCCAATGGATGTTGAGTATCTTGTGAAGACAGCTATTTATAAATACTTGTACCTTCTTGATGGTGGTTGTTGTAGTTCTTCACGGTTATCGATTCCTAAATGTCAGAAAATTTAAAAAATCTGAATGTCGCCAATGAAGATGGGTTTTAAAATCATACTAAAAAGCATGCTGCAGGAAAACTGGATAAGTTATCGCATAATTTTCCTAAACATGAAAAAAAAATGAAGAGAACCTTAATAAGTACTTGATCATGGTTTAATCCAAAATGTTTTGTCTGAAAACCACTTATTGATAGTAGTATTGATCGTATCAAGCTACTAAACATAACTTCAAACGAAAACTTTTAGAAGTAGTTCATATGGTATATATGTATAGCCAGTCTACGTGAAAAATGTATATAGATATACAAGAAGCACAGCCAAAATAGTTAATTAACCAGAAAAAAATTTATAAAACTCGCCTGGGTTGCTTTTTGAATTCATTGTATTTGCCAGTGTTAGTTGTATGAGTTTGAATAAAATCCTCAGCCATCATTTCGGAATACCTAGCTTATGTGTCCAGTATTTAAAAAAAATTTAACATAACATTTATATATCAAGGGCAAAAGGTCTGGGGAGTTGTAGGTGAGGCGGAATGAGGAAAAAAAATATTTTTAAGTAGATGCAGGGTCTGATTAGCTACGTGGTTAGATTTTATCCTGCAGCCGAAACTGTCAACATCCTTGACTGACTAATTGGATGTGCCCAGCGAACCGTTTTAGTCATTTGTAAAGATTTATCATCTTTACATTTCGATTCCGTAATGGATTTGTCAGTTAAACGATCTAACAACACGTATGGTGGTTCAAGATCTAGATAAGCCGGCTTTAGCCTATCAATACTTACTGTGTCGACGTTTCCATGTTTTCCTATCACGAAATATTTAGATTTTTTTGAGACGACTTTGAAAGGACCTTCAAATGGAGGACTGAGTGGTACTTTTATTTTGTCACATCTTATCCAGACGTCCGTGCACTTGCTTAGGTTTTTAGGTACATATATGGCGCGCGACTGTTCACGAGTATTAATTAGCTTAAGTTTGGACATATGGTCCCGCAGTTGATTTACATAATTTTCTAAATTAAGTTTTTGACTGTTAGTATTAGGGTTAATAAATTCACCTGGTAGTCTTAGAGTTGTTCCGAAAACCAGTTATGCAGCTGAACACTGCGTCAGTTTTGACAGGTGTTCGTATTCCAAACATAACTAACGGTAGGAATTCTGTCCACTGATTGGGGTTTGAGTGAGATATAAGGGCGGTTTTTAGCTGACGGTGAAAACGTTCTACCATCCATTAGCCTGAGGATGATATGCCGTGCAGCGTATCCTATTGGAGCCTAGAAGTTAAGCCAAGTTATTAAATGGTTCGGATTGAAATTACGCTCCTCTATCCGTCGTTATTGTTATGGGCGTACCAAAAATCGTTACCTAGTTCTGCATGAAAACCTTGGCTACTGTTTCAGCTGTGATGTCCGCTATCAGGATGGCTATAGGGAATCTGGTAAATCGATCTATGCATGCAAAAAGATAAGTAAAACCGTTTGAACGTGCTAAAGGACCTATCAAGTCGATATGCACATGGGCAAAACGTGCATCTGGTTGCGAGAAAACACCTATGGGTGAATTTGTGTGACGATTAATCTGTGATTGTTGGCATGCTGAACACTCTCTAACCCACTTGTGTACATCCTTTTGTAAATTCGTCCATATATATCTGTCATTGATTAGTTTAGTTGAAGCTTTTGCGCCAGGATGAGACAAAGAATGAAAGTCATTATATACCAACTTTCGCATATTTTTGGGAACGAAAGGTCGCGGCATTGCCTTGGTCGTGTCACAGTAGATTAGAATACCATAGAGAGGTGATGGGAACTGTTTTAAATTAGGACTTGAATTGTTTGTTTTAAGCAGGTTTTGTAATTCTAGATCCTGCTCTTGTTCGTTTCTCGACGTCTCGAAGTTTACTGTAGACTGCTGTAGCACGTTCATTTCTAGTCTAGATAAAGCATCTGCCGCCTGATTGTCCTGACCTTTGACATGTCGGATATCGTTTGTCAACTGTGATATATAGTCAAGGTGTCGGACTTCTTGAGGTGAGTATTTATCGGCTCTCGCTTTTAATGCATTCGTTAGTGGTTTGCGATCCGTAAAGACTATAAATTCCCTACCTTCTAACATGTGTTGGAAGTGTTTGATGGTCAGGTAGATTGCAAGAAGTTCTCGCCCAAAGGTAGAATACCTTGTCTCTGCTGGAGCGAGTCTTTTAGAAAAGAAAGCAATTGGTTTCTAGGCGTTTTTAACCAGTTGGTTAAGGGTACCACTTACTGCTTTATCTGAAGCATCCACCATCAAAGCAAGTGAGGGAAGAGAATTCGGATACATCAACGTAGTTGCTTGAGCCACTTTATCTTTAAGCTGTCTAATAGCTTCGACGGCGTCAGAAGACAGTTTGAATTCTTCTGGTTTTCCTTTAAGTGAGTATGTCAAAGGTTGCATTAATTGTGCACAACCTGGTATGAATCTGCTATAAAAGTTAATTAGACCTAGAAAACTTCTCAGTTGTGTTAGAGAACTAGGTATGGGGAATTGTTTAATGGTATCCACTTCTTTTTTGATCGGTTTAATCCCTTCTGGGCTTATTGTGTGACCGAGAAATTCTAAAGTTTTAACACCGAAGACACACTTTGATGTATATTTATTCCATGTTCATCCAGTCTTTTTAACACTGCTCGTACATGCTGTCCGTGTGATTGCGAATCGGGGCTGGAAATTAACAAGTCGTCTATATACCCCTGAGCAAATGGAATATTTCGAATTAGGTTATCTATGAGTCTTTGAAATGTCTGTGCCGCATTTCTCAGGCCGAATGACATGCGTACAAACTCGAATAAGCCAAAGGGTGTTGTAATATCTGTCTTGAGGATATCTTCATCAGCCACCGGGATATTGTGATATACCCTGACTAAGTCAATTTTAGTGAATATGTTCATACCCTGTAAACCGTTTGTGAAATCTTGGATATGCGGTATTGGGTACCTATCTGGTACGGTTTGACGGTTAAGGGGCCTGTAATCCACGCACGGTCGCCAGTCCCCTTCATTCTTCTTCGGGAGCATATGCAAAGGGGATGACCATTGACTATCAGAGGGACGGATAATACCCAATTGTAGCATATAATCAAACTCGGCCCTGCGATTTTGAGCTTGTCTGGTGCTAGTCTCCCGGGTTTTGCAAATACCAGTGCACCTTCGGTTTTGATAGTGTGACTTACTTTTAGTTTGTCTTTAGAAGGCTGTGGGTTTCGTCTAGTTAGGTTTGGAAATTCCGCGAGTATATCTTGGAATTTCGCTGTTGTTATTATTATTATTATTATTATTATTATTCACAAACATCTTATGGGTACATAAGTGTTGTGAAGAAACCATTTCGGGTTTCTTCAGAA